ATTGATGCCTAAGTGAGGAGCTGATGAATTTCTGAAGGCAGCGGGTTAATTAATTCATTTCTAAAAGCGCAATTAATTAAAAGGGGGGGTGGTTAATGAGGCCAGTGAGAAAACAGGGGCCACTGTCAGCGAGATAATTAGCAGCGCTGTTGCGGAGGGACCTAACGAGGGACATAGGCAGTAATTGGAAGGGGCAGGGGGGCTAATTAGCGGCGTTAATGAGCGGCACTAACGAGCTTTCCCATAGGTGAGCAGGACAACTCGGACAACAACACCATCTTTGTGCAAGGCCTGGGGGAGAACGTCACCATCGAGTCGGTGGCCGACTACTTCAAGCAGATTGGCATCATTAAGGTGTCCTTGGCGTGTCCTTAGCGTGTCCTTAGCGTGTCCTTGGCGTGTCCTTAGCGTGTTTGTGCGTGACTGTCACATGTGGGAGCTGCTCTCGCACTAAGAAGTTGGCACAGCCCACAGAGGAGTGAACCTTGCGTCTGTAGTGTGTTGCTCTTAGCGTGTTCTTAGTGTGTTGTGTCCTTAGGGTGTCAGTGTTAGCGTGTTGTGTCCTTAGGGTGTCAATGTTGGCGTGTTCTTCGAGTGTCCTGTCCTTGAACTGGTGTTGTTAGTGTGCTCTTGGCATGTTGTGTCTTCAGGCTGTCATTCTTAACGTGTTCGTCGCATGTTGTGTCCTTAGGTCTTCGTTCTTAGCGTGTTCGTAGCATGTTGTGCCCTTAGGATGTCAGTGTCAGCATGTTCTTGGCATGTTGTGTCCTTACGGTGTCAACGTCAGGCTGTCGTTGGTGTGTTGTCCCCTTAGGGTGTCAGTGTTGGCATGTTGAGTGTCGTTACCATGTTGTGTGCTTGGAGTGTCACTGTTAGTGTGTTCTTGGCATGTTGTGTCTTTAGGGTGTCATTCTTAATGTGTTCTTAGCATGTTGTACCCTAAAGATGTCGTTCTTGACGTGTTCTTCGCGTGTTGTGTCCTTCATATGTCAGTGTTAGTCCTTAGCATGTTGTGTCCACGTGCTATCCATCTTAGCATGTCCTTAGTATGTTGTGTCCACGTGCTATCCATCTTAACACGTCCTTAGCATGTTGTGTCCACGTGCTATCCATCTTAACACGTCCTTAGCATGTTGTGTCCATGTGCTACCCATGTTAGCATGTTCTTAGCATGTTGTGTCCATGTGCTACCCATGTTAGCATGTTCTTAGCATGTTGTGTCCACATGCTATCCATCTTAGCACATCTTTAGCATGTTGTGTCCACATGCTATCCATGTTCGCACGTCCTTAGCATGTTGTGTCCACGTGCTATCCATGTTAGTGCGTCCTTAGCATGTTGTGTCCACATGCTGTCCATCTTAGCATGTCCTTAGCATGTTGTGTCCACATGCTATCCATGTTCGCACGTCCTTAGCATGTTGTGTCCATGTGCTATCCATGTTAGTGCGTCCTTAGCATGTTGTGTCTACATGCTGTCCTTGTTAGCACGTCCTTAGCATGTTGTGTCCACATGCTACCCATGTTAGCACGTCCTTAGCATGATCGCAGTGCGTCGCCGTGCCATCAGTGTGCTCCTGCATTTCCCCCATCCCAACACCAGGGGGCAGCACCGCCCCATGTATCCTTATGTCCTTAGCGTGTCCTTAGCATGTCCTTAGCATGTCTCTCCCCGCAGACCAACAAGAAGACGGGGCAGCCCATGATCAACCTGTACACGGACCGCGAGACGGGCAAGCTGAAGGGCGAGGCCACGGTGTCCTTCGACGACCCCCCCTCCGCCAAAGCCGCCATCGATTGGTTTGACGGTACGCCCCCACCCTCCACCCCCCGTCCCCCAACCCCTTCGCTCTCATTTTGGGCTGAAACCCCGCGTTTTTAGGCAAAGAATTTTCCGGCAACCCCATCAAGGTTTCCTTCGCCACCCGGCGCGCCGACTTCAACCGCGGCGGCGGCGGCGGTCGGGGAGGACGCGGGAGGGGAGGTGAGCACCGACCGACCCCGCGTCCCTTCACCGACCCCAAAATCCTCCTTTTTCACCCCAAAACGAACCCGTTGCTCCCCCAGGCCCCATGGGACGCGGGGGGTTCGGCGGCGGCGGCGGTTCCGGAGGTGGAAACCGCGGCGGTTTCCCCAGCGGCGGCGGCGGGCAGCAACGTGCAGGGGACTGGAAATGCCCCAATCCGTGAGTGTTTCTTCTTTTTTTGGGTTAAAAACAACCCAAACTGGGCAAAAAAGGCCCCGCTGACTCCACAACAACTCGGCAGGGCCTGCGAGAACATGAACTTCTCGTGGCGCAATGAATGCAACCAATGCAAAGCGCCCAAACCCGACGGCCCCGGAGCGCCGCACATGGGAGGAAAATACCCCGGCGGCGGCCGCGGGGGGAACCACATGGGTGAGTGCAGACCCCCAGCCCCCAATTTTGGGGCTTTTTGTCTCGTTTTGCTGTATTGATGTCCTCCTTCGTCCCCCAGGAGGAGGCGGTGGATTCGGAGAGGAGCGGCGCGGAGGGCGCGGAGGATTCGAGCGCGGGGGGTTCAGAGGAGGAAGAGGAGGGGAACGAGGGAACTTCCGAGGAGGACGAGGTGGTGAGAGGGGAGGATTCGGGCCTGGGAAGATGGATTCCAGGTACGGCACGGAGCAGGGCTTGGGTGCTGCTTCTTCTCAGCGGGTCCTTCTTAACCCCAAGCCTGGGTTCTTAAACCCTGAGTTCTGGGGGCAGAAAGAGCAGATTTGGGTTCTTGTTAATCCTGAGCCTCCTCGTGGTTTGAGGGCAGGAAGAGCAGATTTGGGTCCTTCTTAACCCTGAACCTCATCGTTGTTTGGGGGTAGAAAACCCAACTTTGGGTCCTTGTTAACCCTGATCCTCCTCATGGTTTGAGGGCAGGAAGAGCAGATTTGGGTTCTTCCTAACCCTGAACCTCAGCATTGTTTGGGGGCAGAAAACCCAACTTTGGGTCCTTGTTAATCCTGAACCTCATCATGGTTTAGGCTCAGAAACCCCAAATTTGGGTCCCCGTTAACCCTAAATACTGCTGGTTTGAGCTCAGAAACCCCAAATTTGGGTCCCCCTTAACCTTAAATTCCTGCTGCTTTGGGCTCAGAAACCCCAAATTTGGGTCCTTGTTAATCCTGAGCCTCCTTGAGGTTTGGGATCAAAGAGCCCAGATTCGAGTCCCTATTAACCCTAAATCCTGCTGGTTTGGGGTCAGAAACCCCAAATTTGGGTCCCCATTAACCCTAAATTGCTGGTTTGGGGTCAGAAACCCCAAATCTGGGTCTCCATTAACCCTAAATCCTGCTGGTTTGGGGTCAGAAACCCCAAATTTGGGTCTCCATTAACCCTAAATCCTGCTGGTTTGGGCTCAGAAACTCCAAATTTGGGTCCCTATTAACCCTAAATCCTGCTGGTTTGGGGTCAGAAACCCCAAATCTGGGTCCCCATTAACCCTAAATTGCTGGTTTGTGGGCAGAAACCCCAATTTTGGGTCTCCATTAACCCTAAATCCTGCTGGTTTCGGGTCAGAAACTCCAAATTTTGGGTCTCCATTAACCCTAAATCCTGCTGGTTTCGGGTCAGAAACTCCAAATTTGGGTCTTGATAACCCTAAATCCTGCTGGTTTGGGGTCAGAAACCCCAAATCTGGGTCTCCATTAACCCTAAATCCTGCTGGTTTGGGGTCAGAAACCCCAAATTTGGGTCTCCATTAACCCTAAATACGGTTAGTTTGTGGGCAAAAACCCCAAGTTTGGGTCCCCATTAACCCTAAATTGCTGGTTTGGGGTCAGAAACCCCAAATCTGGGTCTCCATTAACCCTAAATCCTGCTGGTTAGGGCTCAGAAACCCCAATTTTGGGTCCCTATTAACCCTAAATCCTGCTGGTTTGGGCTCAGAAACCCCAAATTTGGGTCCCTATTAACCCTAAATCCTGCTGGTTTGGGCTCAGAAACCCCAAATTTGGGTCTTGTTAACCCTAAATTGCTGGTTTGGGCTCAGAAACCCCAGATCTGGGTCCCCATTAACCCTAAATCCTGCTGGTTTGGGCTCAGAAACCCCAAATTTTAACCCTAAATCCCGCTGGTTTGTGGGCAGAAACCCCAAATTTTAGTCCCCATTAACCCTAAATCCTGCTGGTTTGGGCTCAGAAACCCCAAATTTTAACCCTAAATCCTGCTGGTTTGTGGGCAGAAACCCCAAATTTGGGTCCCCCATTTACCCTGAGTCCGCCAATGTATTTGGGTCAAAAAACCCCAAGTTTGGGTG